ACAGGGATGACGCTGGAGGTGAAAAAGGTTGTGGGAACACCAGCAGTGCCTCCAGAAACAGTAGCCACTCACCTTGCATCCACTCCTGACACTGACAAACCCCAAGCCCTGCCCTCACTATGGGCTTGCAAGCTGACCCTCTTCAGGGCACCAACCTTCAGTTCTTCATGGAGGCTGCCACTGAAGGACTCTAAGAACTCACAGGCCCCAGAAGAGTTAACTAGGGCCCTGGAATGAACCAATATTGTGTGGGGTCAAGTGACATTAACGTTGGCGTTGTGATAAGAGCTAGGACCAGAATGAATGCCTACAGTTATTGGTTCTCTTCCCCTGCTTGTAATAAACCCTGCTGAACATAATCCAGACTCTGTGGTGTTAATGGATAACGGAGGAGGTATTACTTGCCAACCCTGCTAGGGGTGTTGATGATGGACCTCATACCTACTGATCTGAAATAAAATATTCATTTAAAACCAAGTCTGCTCCTGGATTGTTGGCTAAGTCTGACATATTTGTGCATGTCACATGTTCTGTGAACCCACAAAATACACTGCAAGGTTATCTCTGCTTGACACCCTCCTGACTGACTCTCCTCCTCTCAGGCTCTGCCTTTTTAACCTCTCTCTCAGCTCCGACTCTCCACTACATTAGCATAGACATGAATAATACGTGACTTACTTAGCATAATAAGGGTGAACGCTACAACTTGTCTTCTTGCTCATCTTATTCTGGTCCTATCAGAAACTGGACATAAATTTGACTGCATTACTGACTTCTAATATAGTGACTCTAAACAAGGGATGGGCAAATTTCAGAGGTCCAGAGGCTGCATAGACTCATCCCTGGATCTTGAAGGTCAAATCCAATCACATTTTCTCCCAGCCACATTTTTCCTTACCAAACCAAGAAAGGACTTCCTCCTACAAGTACACTTTGCACCAAAATTTCACAGAAATATATTGTATGCTTTTAAAATAGCCCACATTTCAATTTTCAGTACTTTTTAACCTTTTGTTGCTCTGGCTACATCCACGGTACATTTCAGATTATCAGCTCAACATGCCATTTTTATAAAGCAGTAAAAATTTGAGGTTTTTTTCATGACATAACCAAGAGGTCTCCCCATACTCTTTAGAAAACCATTGTCAAATTGCTGAAAAATACAAAAACTTTGAATAGTATTTTACTTGTATAAAAACAGACTTCCTATATAATTTTTTAAGAATTTAATATTTTTAATATAAAAAAGGAGGCATAGAGATAAATACCAACAAACCCCTTTGCATGTTTAAAGGAGATCGTTACATATGCAGAGGAAGGTGGTAAGTTTAAAGTGGTAAGTTTACACATACATGCCTCAAATTTGTTTTTCTCTCCACTTACAGCCTGTCTAGCAGGTTTCTTTTCCCTGGCTCATATAACTGAATAAACATCTGCATGTCCACCAAGTAACAGTTGTAATAAGTTACCTGTTCTTAGATCTGAAGATTTATTTACAAGAAATTGATGTCATAACTCATAACACATTTTCTGAAGGGTGTGGGAGCTGGAGTTTGTGCATTTTAGCACAGTACATTGAGAGTAAATATTGGGAAAATTATTTCCTGGATTTAAAAAATGACTTCCAATTAAAACAAAGTAGTCAAAAAGGCATACAGTATGCACATGTAACGAAGTTGTTCAGTCATACTTAAACCTCCTGATAGCTGGGAGAAGAAAGCAAGGCTTCACAAGCTGGAGATGCTGCTGAGAATATTCAGTTTTTACAGGGTTTTTTTTTTTTTTTGGTCCAGGTTTGTTTTTCCTTCTGATGTATGGCTTCATTATCTTTCCAAAGCAATGAATCTGTACAAGAGTGTTGATCAGCTGACATTTTATTCCATATCCTGCTTAAAATATTTCCACCATGTGAAGCTCTGAAAATGGCTACCAATTTTTCAGAACTATCTCATACACCTAAATAACCTTGCATAATTTACTCTTTTTTGATAGAGCCTTAGAAATTTGAGCTTTATTGTGGCTGAAATTTTAGACAGCCTTGCTACTAGAATTTTTATACATGGTTTGCTTTTTAATTGACTATTCTGTGTAGTGGCTTTTCATCATCGATTTTATTGCACTATTAGATTTCTGGAAAGCTTATTTTCAGCAAGTTGTTATAAATATCCACCACCTTTTCATTTTGTTTTCAGAACAAGCAGTAAACCTAACGAAATGAAAACACAAATCCATGGAAGATCAAAAAAAACAATATGCCCGTATTATAACAAAAACAGAACAATGTTATTTACAGAGACACATAATCACAGAAATAACCATTATACAAAAGTCATATAGAAACTATCAGAGTCTGTAAATGAGAGTTGTCCAAAACAGTAATGTTTTCAAGCTATTGCAATGGTGTTTGAAAAAGATCTCCATTGGCTTGAGCAGCAGCATGCTGAAAAATTACTGTTTATACACACAGTTGTGACTGGGTACAGCCCCTCCATCATACCCCACCATCTTGACTGTCACAGGTGACTCCAGAACACCACTAGGTAATAACAAATGTTCTTTATTCTTTAGCAGATTGCTGGGAATAACGTCTGTAGCCAACTCAGCCTCTTGCTTCAGTAAAAGTTATTTATTATTTATAAACCAAAACACTAGTGTTTATCTGAATTACAATTGCTGGCAAAGACATACAATATGGGAAAAAAACATTATATTTTATACTTAACTAATAGTGGTGTTTTTGGTTTTTTAAATCTAAATGCTTCCAGTTTATCTTTACGAGATTGTAGAACTCTCTCCCACTCAGCCTCTTGCTTCAGTAAAAGTTATTTATTATTTATAAACCAAAACACTAGTGTTTATCTGAATTACAATTGCTGGCAAAGACATACAATATGGGAAAAAAACATTATATTTTATACTTAACTAATAGTGGTGTTTTTGGTTTTTTAAATCTAAATGCTTCCAGTTTATCTTTACGAGATTGTAGAACTCTCTCCCAAGGGAAGTTTAAATCTAAATGCTTCCAGTTTATCTTTATGAGATTGTAAGGGAAGTTAAGTTCTCTCCATTTCTGCTGAGCTTCTGGTGGCCAGACAAACCTGCACAGGTCCTAATAGACTTTGATCTCTAAGATGGGTTTTACTGAATGTTTGGATCTAATTTTGAAGAAAATATCCATCTTTTATTTTAATGTTTTAAATAATTTTAGTGCATTGCAGATTGCTTTGAAAGTCCTTAGCAAATGGAAAGCATTGCCATATTCAGCACAATCAAGTTGCAAACATCACTTTTCAGCATTTGGTTAAATTTTCCTCCACATTTAAATTCCAGCCACCTCCAATTTTAGAAGATGAAACTGAATAAGTACAGTGCTTAGTTATCTGGTACATTTGATATAACAGACATTCACTGGTAAATTAGTTATTACTTCATATATTGTTATATTTGTAATACCTATTTGGCCCTAGTACACATTATCAGTTTATTTTCAGCCTGGGTGCCTGAGGTACACCTATTTGGCCCTAGTACACATTATCAGTTATATCTTTATTTTCAGCCTGGGTGCCTATCATGAACCTAAACAGTTCCCTTCCTAACTCTGACTGACTCCTGGCCAGCACTGCCTTTTTAGCAGCCTGGCTGACCAGAGACACAATCTGATCAAAAATACATTCTGTGTAAGTATGGTATTCTACTCTTAGCTAGCAGATCATAAATATTCATATACATACCATGTTTCCCTGAAAATAAGCGAGGGTCTTATATTAATTTTTGTTCCAAAATACACATTAGGGTTTATTTGAAGGTGATTTTTTTTTCATGTACAACAATCTATTTATTCAAATATAGTCACATCATCTTCTTCTGGTTGCTGCACGATGGTGGAGGGCAGGGTTTCACTTAACTGGGACTTATTTTTGGGATGGGACTTATATTACGAGCATCCTAAAAAATCATACTAAGGCTTATTTTCAGGTTAGGTCTTATTTTCAGGGAAACAGGGTACATTCTGTGTTGCATAAATATCAACAAATACAGTTGCCAATAGCTGATAATTCGCTTCCTGAAATCCAGAAATCTGGATCTGCAAGCATATTATCACAACAACATTGACAGAAACACAACCCCTGACTGTAGGCTACAATTTGAGCACCCTGAGTTCTTTTCACCAGGAAGAATACAGATGTCTATGTCAAATAAGAACAAAGTCCTAGATACATTCATCAACATGAAGTAGGAGATCCATGACATAAAGGAAACACCTCCTTTATAGTCTTTAAAAGCTTACAAAAATTACAAATGCAAATTCATAAGATCATATGTGGATTCACCTAACTTTGGACTCTCCTGATCTTGGCCTAAATTTGTGCTGTCATAGTGGCTATGACTCTTAGTTGAGAAGGTTATGAATTAGGTGTAATTTAACTCCTCCCCTTCTCTATCCTATCTTGCATTTTATTTTGTTTCTTCTGCCAGCTAATTTCATCCAGCACAATTGTGCTGGTAGATTTAAGGAAAGCCGGTCCAAGGGACATTGTATGGCTTCTGACCATGACAAGCACACTGCCCCTGGTTTGCATGCACTGTAGGTTAAGATGAGTTGCTAAAATTATTAATATATCACTAAACCTTTCCTTGTATCTATGAAAGACAACTTTAGGCCTCTGTCTTATAGTGCTAAGATTAATTATTTTGTGAGCCAAAGCGTGCAATACTGATAATGCTGATATGTATTGGAATACAAAAATAAACACCTATAATGACTGCTGTCAACAATGATGGAAATGTGAGTGATAAATCCTGTGAAAAACCTTCGCATAGATAGCCTTGATCAACTTGGCTTTTTCAGTTCAGGAAGGAATGTGAGCAAAGATAAGACTCCAGAATAATGCAACAATACTCCCTTGGAGAGTGGAGTACAGACTTCTAGGAAAGCAGACAAGCTAAACAATAAGAGGAAGAATCTTGGGAAATTCCTTCCTTATTCAATAAGGTACCAATTCTTTTAGTAACCAATAAGGTACTAAATCCTGGGAAATTCTTTCCTTACTCAATAAAGCACTAACGACTGTTAATAAAAAACAGTGGACAGGAGGCTGTGTATATAAGGATTTCAATCTTAAGACGATCCTATAAGGAGTACTCAGGAGAACTACTCAGAATTTCAAGAGGCAAACGTCTTCCAAAAAAACCCACATGATGATGCTGGCAACACTTCAGTATCATTGTTTGCTAGTGACAGGTTTGTTTCTCTTTTTCCCTCTCTGCTAATATATTTATGCTTTTCCTCTAATATATTTGTTTTTCCTCTTTTTAATTTAGTGCTTGCTTTCATTCTTGAAAAGATTCTTAAGAGTTGTTGACTAAATACATGGAATAGATAATCTTAAACAAAACAAACTTTTAATGGCATTTTGGTTATTTTCCAATACTTGTAAGATCCAAAACATATGCTGTAGATTCTGATAGTTCTACAGTATAGATGGCAACATCCACAGGTACTATTAAAATACTATGTATTTGGGATCCACTTCTGTTGCCACTTACAACAGGAATATGCTGTGTGATGGACTAATTCTGACAGGAAAACTTACCTTTGTAAATAATAGGAATGACTCATGAAAATACAATTAAAATAGCTAAGTGCTATTAAACATTATCACTGAACGAGAGTGCATTGATGTTATTGTGCAGCAGAGCAAATCAGCATTCTATAAGGCAATTTGAACAATCAGGGCAGATCAAACAAAAAACTGTAACTTTGAAACTGGACTTTGAATCAACACCAAATTTAGCACAGAAGCAGGAGACATCTACAGATAGTCATGCTCAGTACCAAATTTGTGGAGTTTGGAGTAAAGTGTTTTTGAGTTAGGATTTTTTTAAACTGTAGAACTGTTACCGTCTCTCAGGATTTCTGAGACCAGGCTTCTCACACAATTCTTCAAAGGGGAAATCAGCTCCTGCTCTGAGGCAGTCAGAACTGTTGACCCTGTCAGACAGGATTCAATTAGCTTTCTTTCAGGAGGAAAACTTTTTAAGTTTCTTCCCAGCCAAAAAGGCATTGGTGTTGGGAAAGGGATTCTATATCTGGTTGTAAAAATATTTAGAAAGATATTTTTTAAAAATGGAGAACATATTCAGAAACTCAATTGTTTAAGGTATGAAATTATTGTTGTTGTTTTCCTTTTCTTTGTGGCTGGGGATGGCCTTATTTGCTGTTTTGGTGCCTATATCTTGTCCTAATTACAACCCTTCCACCCATTTTGTCATTATACAATTGTCTAGTAATTAAGAAAAAAAACCTTCCAAAGGTGTTATGTGTCATCAAATTACTTCTGATGTGTGGTAAGTATATGAGTTAATGACCTCCAAAATGTCATATCATGAACCGTTCTGCTCAGATTGCAAGCCAACAGGATCTTCTATTAGATTGTTCTTTCTTACCATCGCTCCCCAGCCAACAAAAATATTTTTCCAGTAAGTTCTGCTTAGATCTTACAAACTAATAGCTGTGGCTTTCTTTATTGAATCAATCTGTCTCATGTAAAGTCTTCCTGTCTTCTTACTGCCCCATTATCCCAGCAATATTGTCTTTTCTGGTCAATTCTGTATTTCCATTACATGTGCATGATAGGCATTTTGAATTATGGATACAGAAGCACAATATCCAACATTCATAAATTGGAAGTTTTTAAGAACTCAGTGAATCTTGAACTGGCTACCTGGGTTTGAACCCTAGATTGTGAGCGCAGTCATGACTGCAGCACAACAGTTTAACCACTATGCCACAAGGCTACTGGTATAATATATTACATTATTGTCATAGTCGTTTAGTCGTGTCCGACTCTTTGTGACCCCATGGACCAGAGCACACCAGGCCCTCCTATCTTCCACTGCCTCCCAGAGTTCTGTCAATTTCATGTTGGTTGCTTCGCAGACACTGTCCAGCCATCTCATCCTCTGTCGTCCCCTTCTCCTCTTGCC